CGCTGCACTGTTTTCTCCTTAGTTTAGGTTTTGTCCCACTGGGTTTTCCTAGAAAGGTTTTTAATGAGGCAACAAGTAATGCGTATTATGAATATCTATGTATATTTTTTTTCTTTCAACTTTTCTTTTACATGAACATCCAAGGGGGAGTGTTGTAAAATTGTGGATGTCATCGGGAGTTAGTATGCTGGAAATGTTTCATTCATGCCAAAGTGTGGTTAACTTTGCAAGCCACAAATTACCACGTGTGCTTTTCTTATAAATAGGGATCAAGTTTATACAACAAAGATATACACAACAATTCCAATCTTATTCTCTCACTTTGTTTATGTTCAAGTACTCTTTATATTGTTCTTCCTTTTTACTTTAGTTTTGTTAAGTTATTTATTTTATAACACCCTTTACATTATTGTTTAAATGTTGTGCTGTTAATGACTGACTGGCATATGTTATCTCATTTATTTATTCATTTTTTATCTTATCACTTCATTTCATTCCCAAAAAGTGCTAATTATGTAATTTGTTTATCGTTTTGCATGTGAAATGTGTCCGGAGTCAAAATTGGACTCGAATCTTCTCTCCCTTGCATCTTCTTATTGGGCCACGTAGGCCAAATTTACCTTTATCTAGTAAGCCATCCGTGACAGCCATAAAAATCGAAGAACACGTCCCCCGAAAGATTGATGGACGGAGTTGGAACCGATATACAATAATATACACTAAGTGTATATGTTGTATACATGGCAGATTTGGGCCCAAAGGCCCACCCCTTTATTTGCAAGTTGTATTTGATTACTTTTGGGCCTAAGCCCTTTATTTGCAATCATTATTATCACTTGTTAGTTCTTAGGACATGTGGATGAATTGGGCCTAAGGCCTAAAAGAAAAACTTTTCCTTTATGTTGGACTTTGACAGGTACCAATGAATTAAATGGGCCAAAGGCACAAAAAAAAAGTAGGCCTAAGTGCTGGTCAAGGCGAACAGAAAACTAGACTTGGGCCCAACACCTTCTCTCTCTTTATTTTATCCGTTTTTCGCATTTGTTTAATTGTTTATTTGCTAGTTAATTTTATGGCTTATCCATAATTCACTTCCCCAAAATGATGATTTAGCAATAACTGTCAAAATCAATTTGGTTTATTTTCATTTTATTTTGACTTAAAATATCTAGTATTTTCTACTTAAGAAAATCCTTATTTCCTGTTTCTTAAAAAAATGATTTCAAAAGTTGTTTACTTTCTCTATTTATTAAAGTATGTGAATTTTCGTAAAATCATTTAGCCAAATAGTTAATTATCGGGTACCTGCTAGTTAGAGGATGTTTTATATGCTTTAAAACCCTTCCTAGAACATTAATATGAACCCCGAACCAACCCCCACCCTCTTAATATTTTCACTAGATTTTCTGTTTTTAATCTTTTGAAAAATTCAGTTTTCTTAATTTTTCTTTAAAAATTAAGTGGCGACCCTTAAAACTTCGTTTCTCATTTTTAAATAAAATAATCACCTTCCTCTTATAGAGTTCGCCTACAATAATAGCTACCATTCTGATGGCCCCTTATGAGGCATTTTATGGGTGTAGGTGTAGATCTCCAGTTGGTTGGTTAAAAGTAGGTGAAACAACCTTGATAGGGCCTGATTCGGTTCATGATGCTATGGAAAAAGTTCAGCTCATCAAAGTTAAACTTAAAATAGAAGTTCTATGCAGATGTAAGGAGAAGGGACTTAGAAATTGAGATTGATGATTGAGTTTTCATAAAGGTGTCACCTATGAAGGGGGTGATGAGATTTGGCTAGAAAGGGAAGCTCAATCCTAGATATGTAGGCTAAGATCTTGAAAAGGGTTGTTAAAGTAGCTTTTGAGTTAGAGTTGTTACCAGAACTAACAACAGTCCATCCGGTTTTTCATATTTCCTTGTTGAAGAAATGTATGGGTGATCTAATATCTATTGTACCATTGGAAACTGTAGCTGTGAAGGATAGTCTCACTTATAAAGATGTTCCAATTGAAATTCTTGATCATCAGGTTCGAAGGTTGAGAAAGAAAGAATTCACTTCAGTTAAAGTTTTGTGGAAGAGTCAGTCCGTAGAGAAAGCTACCTGGGAAGCAGCCATGAAGGCCAAGTATCATCATCTCTTTCTTCCCGATCCCATTCCAGCTTGAGGTAATAGTTCCTCTCCAGTATTTCAGTTACTCTTGCGTAAATTCTGTTATAGTATCATCTTCCTTCAGTTATACTTGCATTTTCTGTGTAATTGCATATTCTTGGAACTCAGTTCAGTTAGATTTCAGTTTCCAGTACATAGTGGCAGGGTTGGTAGCACTTTCCGTCCATATCTCACCTAGTTTAGACTTCATTCGAGGACGAATGTTCCCAAGGGGGAAATATTGTAAAACCTCAAGACTTATTAGATCAGAACACCAGATATTTGGGTGAACCACAGCAGGGTTCACGAACCGTGATTGGAACCACGGTCGATTTCCCATGGATTCACACCCAGTCTTGAAATTGTGGACCACGGGACACTCACGGGACGTGTACCACCACACGAGCCGTTGGGAGGCTTTTGGAATCCAAACAAAACCCACAAGGTTCACACATCATACCATAGAGCCCTTCACGGGCCGTGGTCTTGATGATGGGGCGTGGTGGCTTCCGTGAAGCAAAGACAGTAGGCCCCTAGCCCAAGTGAAGGACCATGACGACCTTTACACGGTCTGTGAAGTGGACTATAGAGGGAAGGGCCAAGAACCAGTAGTCACTGGCCCAAGAACCATGACCGATACGAAGGACCGTGGTCTTAGTGACGGTCGGTCGATGCGTCCATGGTCGGGCTCTATCACATTTTAAGTGGGATCATTTTGGTCTTTTCCCCTATGCATTGGACACCTAAACTACGTCGTTTAAACCCCAAACTACGTAGTTTTGGTCTGTTTTAGCCTATTAACTTAATCAGAACTTACCCTAATCGAACATTCACCAAAATTATTCAAACTTAGAACAAAAGAAAAAGAAAAAGGCACCAGTTTTCCTTTGAATAATCAATAGGTTTCTTACAAGTTTTAGCCAGAATTTGAAGGATTTCACTGTGGATTTCGTCACCAGGTATATGGGATTTCACTAGTGGGTTTCTTTCACCCACTAGGTCCCTAGAATTTAGTTAGATTCTTGATTACCTTCATATTGTTTAGACTTAGGGTTTCTAGAACTTCAGATAATTGTTGTGATTTAGCTGTTAGAGTAATCCTTATTAGAATATAGGTTTTCATAACCATGTTGCTTAATTTTTGCATGAAATTCAGAACCCTAGTTGTGTAGATTCGTTTAGTTCATGAATTACACTTCCTAGGTCAGTTTATACAGATATACATGCATCAGTTTTTAAATGGTTCATTATCAGTACTTAATGTTGCATTTTCAGTAAGCATGTCAGAATCTTGAGATATCCAGTTCATTTCAGTTGTGTTGTATTTTACACATTCTAGTCGGGAGTAGGCTTAATACCGAGTTGGACTAGGGTCAGTCACCCTCATAGTCCCAGAACTATGTGCCCTCGTAGGGTAAGTCCCCTATGTGGGCATCATATTTAGTGATCACGTCAATCATGCATTTATACTCCTCGCAAGGTATATTGGGTCCTCTTGATAGGGCGTATGCATCGGACTCCACGTTTAGCTCACGTGGTTTTATGTCGATTAATAGTAACTCCCACAGTCAGATTCTAGTGCATTGAGTAGGTCACCAGTTATATTTCAGTATGTTATTAACTTGGTCATGGCATTCAATTTAGTTCATGTTCAGTATGTTAAGTATATTCTTCATGTTCATCTTATTTCATTGATCAATATGCCTTATTCAGTTATGTATATATTGTTCAGTTTTATTCTATCCTGCATGTTCAGTACCTTTCAAGTAATGATGCATACTCTAAGCTACATCTTCTCGTGATGTAGGTTTAGGCCCACATCATTCAGATTGCGTGTAGATCTGTTCATGATCCGTACTCAACATTATCAATGGTGAGTGCTCATTCTCCGAGGATGATAAATATGTTCTCTTTTACTTTCAGTCTTTCAGTTTCAGTTTTGCTAGAGGCTTTTATTCAGACATAGTTAAATTCAGTTTTGGTTTTGAGTTTGATAGTCAAGTTTTTATTAAACTCATAGTCTGTTATATTCAGACTTAGATTGGGTATTTCCCCATCATTTTAGTTTATCTCATGACTTAAGTGTTCTGCACATTATTTCTTATTTGAGTTTATCTTAGTATGCTATGATATGCCAGCTCAAGGTTAGCTTCAATTCACTCGTGATCCTAGGTACCGTGTTTACGTCAAGGAGGTAGCCTCAGGCGTGACATATGTCATTTCTGTTTGAGAAATAGCTCAAATTAATGGCATAGATGAGCCTTTTCCCAAAATTCAATGGCATATTTAATCTCTTTTTCCTATTTAATATATCAAAAAATCATCTTTCTTCTTAATTATAATTTTTTTAACAAAGAAAATAATTTGCTAACCTAAAATAATTAATATAATTTAATTAGTTGAGTGTTTATCTGAAAATATAAGACATAGATCAAAAGACAAAAAAAAATATACTTTGAATTTAGACGATCAATAAACTTCAGTAAAATTCAATTAAATTTTTGTAATTTGTCTCTTTTTTAAAATGAAAAGTTCTTTTATAGAAAAATGAATTTGACACATTTTAGCTTAAGCTAAAGATAACTTTCAATTAAATGTTTTCACATCTACCAAAGAATTGAGAAAAAACTCAGATTTTGTTTCAATAATAAAAATTTTGTATTTACTTGTAACTATTGTTTTCTATTACACTTTAAAAAAGGAAAAAAAATAATAAATATCATCTTTATCCTGTTTAAAGACCGTATATATATACCTCATTGTCTAAATTTCCTTTCTTGAAATCTTATTGCAATTTTCTTTTCAACATTCTCAAATAAAAACTTCTCTTTAATTTTCTGAAAATTTAGCAATGGCTAATTTCACAAAGGAGGAAATTGGCATTATTGTGGTTGGAGCTGGACCATCCGGTATAGCTGTATCAGCCTGTTTAAACAAATTGGGTATAAACAATGTTGTTTTACAAAAATAAAATTGTTGTGCTTATTTGTGGAAGAAAAAGATTTATGATAGACTTCATTTGTATCTATCGAAGGACTTTTGTTCATTGCCGTTTATGCCACATGCAATTTCATCACCTAAGTTTATGCCAAAAAAAGAATTTATTTAATACCCTTGTGGTATTTCTTATCTAAAAATTATTTTTGAATTAGTTTCACCTCCAATAATTTCTACCGATTCGTCATTTGTGTTACATTTCACAAACATACTCTCCAAGCACTATAAAAAAATTCAAAAACAACCTCGATTCTGAATTCAAAGTTGATTTAATGTAATCAGTTGTTCTTTAAAAAGGGAATATTGGTTGACTAGAAAGTGATTAAGGAATATGGTGTTGGATTATTGTATATACAAAATTTTGGGATAGATATTTAAATATCCTAAAAACATAGAAAGATCCCATTAGTCCATTTCTAAATCTTACAAAAATTAAAATTTAAAATTTAGGTCTCATCAGGTATCTTATATCGTGAGAAAAAAGAAGAGTAGGATTTGGAAAGGAGACAAGTTGTTTAGTATAAGTATAAACAACTCATATTGTTTACTTTGAGGAACTGAATTATAAGTAAAATCTTAATTTTTTCTATGTCGTAGTACCTTTTATACATCGTCATTTCACATGTTGCACAGATAACAAATTTTACTTTTTAGGAATTTGAATCTCATAATTTTGAAGAAACTTGTCTACAGATATCAATTAGATGACTTGATAAAGGATAGTACAAAAAATTATTTACACTAACAGTATATGAAACTTGGATTTCTCTTTTAGTATAATCTTTCGTACATTACTCATATATATTTCCTTTTTTAGAACCCTTGCAAATTCCAGTTACCAACTTTGATCTATGTTTTTGAATACTACAAGTTATATACAATTATATTATAATTGATCTAATTTTGTACTTCTTCTTTAATATATCGTTAAAATATGAAACTTACACCCGTAAATATGTACATTATAGTTCATGATGTTCTCCCAAAGTGTTATAACTTTTCTATAGTTAGATTATGCAAGTTTTTCACATGCACAATCAATTATATTTTTAATAAATATGGTTGTTAATTCTAAAAGTTTTAATATATTTTATCGTAATGTTTTTATAGATTCATGTTCTAACAAGGGAAATGGCGTATACTGCAATGTTGTTGCTAAAATATTTACCAAAATCTTTGGTTGATATTGTAATTGCAAAGTGCACAAAATTTAAATTGGGAAATTTAGAAGAATTAGGAATACCACAACCAGAAGAAGGCCCATTTTCTGTTAAGATATCAAAAGGTAGATCCCCAGAATTGATGCTGATGCTATTGACAAGATTAAACTTGGACAGATTAAGGTATGATACTATATTTATTTTATTATATTCTATTTTGAGAAATATTATGTGAAAAACAGATCGCTTTAGTTTTTTCGAGGGTTTTGATCTGATAGTAAAAGTACAACATGTGATGTATGGTTAGGCACACATCACGAGTTCAAATTTGATTACTACCAAGAACCTAGTAGTAGTATTTAATGAGAAAGAATAAAAATACATGTTCATTATCATGGGCAACAATTGAACTGTTATAGTTATGAAATCGGTAGAATTTAGTAATTTCAGTTAATACAGTATATTTGTGTAAATAGTTCATCTGAAATGCATTAATAATCTATTATAAAAAAAAGAAACAACACTTGGTTTTTTTTTTGTGAAATAACTTTTGGTCAATTGATTATTAGGTAATTTTTGAAATATCAGAAATAAAGGAACATACAGTAGTGTTTGACAATGGAGATGAACATCAATTTGATGCAATCATTTTGGCTATTGGATGCAAGAATATTGCTACCAAATGGCTAAAGGTATGTTTTGCAAATTATCACTATGTTCTACTTTTTTTTTAAATTCTAAATTAGAGTCTTGAAATTTTCCACTTGCCTATAAATATCGTGTGCGGATAAATTTTTCTTGATAAGTTTTCCTGGTTACTAATTTAACTTACTATTAATTTTACCATCATTGTCTCAAATAATGTACAATTTTTTTTTCTTTTGTATGCAGGATTATAGCTGAATATTCCTTGAAGTGGCACATTGATAAATTGGAAAGGAGAGAATGGGCTATATTGTGCTGGATTTTCAAATGGAGGGATTGCTGGTATTTCAATGGATGCTAGATCTATTGTTGATGATATTAAGACTGTTAGGGGAGACAAAATTTAGATTTTTATTATTATTATTATATCAGACTATGTTGTTAAATAAATTTCTAAACCTTGCATAAATGAAGGATGCTTGCTGCACCGGGCTTGACTTGTTAAGTTCAGCTAGAACTTAAAAACATTGTTTCTTTTAGTATGTTTTTTATTGGAATCAAGTTTCTACTGTCATATAAATTTGATGAAACTTTATTGATTGATTGTCTTTATTCATTGGGCAAAGCACGTCATTTAGCACAATTTGGGTTACTCAGACTTCACCCCACTAGACCCAACAACAAAATACTCCAAACCAACAATTTATGATCAATTTTAAAGCACGTAATCTGGGAAATTAAAAATTAAGGCAATTTTAGGCACGACATCAAAACTAGAAAAAGGTAAACTAGCACACATTTATGATTTCAGAAAGGCCCAGCACATATCAATAAGAATTACACAAATGTAAATGAGTTCAACCGCTATTTCTGAGTTTGGGGTTCAGAAAAACCAACCTTTTATGCCGAAATATGATTTATAATGCTACGCGGCAAAGAATTCCAACTCCGAACACAAGATCGATGACCAAAAAGCAGTAAAAAGCAAGAATATGGGAAATATAGAGTGCGGGTGTGATTGTATGAAGTTAAAAAGTGAAGGAATGTGAAACATTTTGAAATTTTAAACCTTTGGCCTTTTAAAAACCATCCAGTTCGCGCCCTTTCGGCGATGTTATTTTTCCTCGCCGAACCACTCAGCGACTTGCTGAGTAATTACTTACCTCGTCGATTTTTACAGGACCTCCAATTAATGTGGGGGTCTAAACGGTGGACAAAGTTGGGCTCGCCAACCTGTTCCGCGAGTCGCCGACTTGTCCATGGGCCTGCCGAGTTTTACAGACTCTAACCTGATATTTTCCTGAGCCCAACGGCTGTTCAAGTCGGGCTCACCGACCTCATCGGCGAGTCACCGACTGGACATTTTGCTCGCCAACCTGCACTTTTCAAACACATTCTATACTTCAACCTGCACAGTCAACACACGTTATTCCAAAATTTAAATAAAGCAATAAAAACTTGGGCTGCCTCCCAAGCAGCGCCTTAGTTAACGTCGTGGCATGACGCAAGTCCTTGCTCAAACTTCATTCTTGGGGTTTGCCATAGCATCACTAGGCAACCCCCTTGTTGTCTCGGGTTTAAATAAGAAGAAATTTGACCCATTTGGGTCTCCAACTGCTTGATAGAGACGGAATGAGAGTTCACCATCTGGTTAAGGGTCGATACATCTTCCTTCATCTCCTTCAAAATTTTATCAGACCCTTCAACCTTGTTGAGAATACGAGAAAGCATATCCTCAGCCCGACCACCCTCAAAATCTTTGGGCTTTTGACGCTCGTGGGGAGGAACATACCTATCCTTCTCCCATTCTCTTTCCTTCCAGGTGGTGTTACGATCGCGCCACTCTCTATCTCGGTCTCTCCATCCCTTATATTTGTTCCAACCTTGGTTACCACCCGACCTTGGGTAATTTGCACGATAACCTCCTCCTTGGTTGGCTAGGAATTTCACTTCCTCATTGTACATCGCTTCAAACATGGCCTCATCGGGGTTTACACAACCCACACCCACAACATTGACACTTCTAGCACAAGATCTCATGACATTTGTGGCCAAAATGTCAAGTTGGGTCATCATCTTTGCCATGTTTTGGTCCGACTCTTGATCTTTTTGAAGCTGCTCCTTTGTTAATTTAAAAGTGAGAGGGGAGACCTGATTTTCACGGGTTTACCATGCCCGGTTAATTTTTGTCATAGATCCAAGAGTTGGGCTACTATAATGTAAGGTTGTTGCATTAAACCTCCTGGAGAAAGTTGATCAGCCATTCCCTTGTTCACCGAATCAAGGCTTCGATAAAAGTATTGTAGCGAAACGTTTTCGGGAAAACCATGAGTTGGGCATTGCAGCACCAACTTTTTAAATCTTAGCCAAGTCTCATGGATTGGCTCACCCTCCAAGAGCTTGAAGCTTTGGATACTGTCCCTAAGTGTCATCATCTTCGAAGGAGAGAAAAATTGCACTTGGAATGTGGTGACAAGCTCTTACCACGAAGTGATAGAATCTCTTGGAAATTTAGACAACCACTTACATGCTTCTCCCATTAGAGAAAATGGGAACAACCTCATTCAGACCGACTCTTGGGATATGTTCTTAGAGGAGACCGACCCGCAAACATCAACAAAGTTCCGTATATGCTCATGGGGATCCTCATGATCCAACCAACCAAACAACCCTTTCAACTGCAAGAGTTGCAACATGGTGCTTGTAATGTGAAATCTTAGCCAAGTCTCATGGATTGGCTCACCCTCCAAGAGCTTGAAGCTTTGGATACTGTCCCTAAGTGTCATCATCTTCGAAGGAGAGAAAAATTGCACTTGGAATGTGGTGACAAGCTCTTACCACGAAGTGATAGAATCTCTTGGAAATTTAGACAACCACTTACATGCTTCTCCCATTAGAGAAAATGGGAACAACCTCATTCAGACCGACTCTTGGGATATGTTCTTAGAGGAGACCGACCCGCAAACATCAACAAAGTTCCGTATATGCTCATGGGGATCCTCATGATCCAACCAACCAAACAACCCTTTCAACTGCAAGAGTTGCAACATGGTGCTTGTAATGTGAAACACAACGTTCCCTTCAGCTGGAGGCAAGCGAATGGCACCAACTCCACCCATTAGATTTAGGTCATTGACATTCGGTTCATTGACATCATTGAGGTTTTCGATGTCATCTTGGTGGCCCACTTGGCTACCATTGCTTCAGTTGACACTCATTTCCTCTGTTTTAAACAAGCAATACGAAAACCAAAACTAAAAATAAGTAGATTCAACTATGACTAACAAGAACAAAATTCAACTTCACAAAAAGAATCTCAAACAACACAACTCCCCGGCAGCGACGCCATTTTGATTTTAACGTTTCAAGCACACCTCATCCAATTCTAGGTATTCAACGATTGTAAATCAATGTAAAACCCAACTAATGAGTTCGGGTCAAATCCCACAGGGAGCGGTACGTGTTTCAGATTCAATTTGGAAATATGAACATGTTCAAATCAGTCATAGGAATAAACATTATCGAATAAAGACATCATTCAAATAAGGGAGTGACACGAATGTCAAATGGGGGTTTAGGTTTTGATTATCAACTACAAATAGTGGCAAACAATAAAACTTAAGAATAATGAGACGGGTTCTTGGGATGTGATCGATTATAGGCTAATATAGACGAATGGGTAATTGCAACTATTAGTAAATAGCTAGATATTAGTGAGTAAGCTAGGCTATAGAGGAGGTAAACTTTCTCTCAAAAAATTTACCCCGAATCAAGTTGATTTCTCTCGAACATCAACAAGTATGCAAAATAAGAACAGCCCACACCTTAGTCCATTCACTCTCTCGAGCTGAATGTGTGGGATTGAGTTAAGGATTCACTCTCTCGAGCTGAACCCAGGTCAAACCAATACGTACACTAGGAATAAACATTATCGAATAAAGACATCATTCAAATAAGGGAGTGACACGAATGTCAAATGGGGGTTTAGGTTTTGATTATCAACTACAAATAGTGGCAAACAATAAAACTTAAGAATAATGAGACGGGTTCTTGGGATGTGATCGATTATAGGCTAATATAGACGAATGGGTAATTGCAACTATTAGTAAATAGCTAGATATTAGTGAGTAAGCTAGGCTATAGAGGAGGTAAACTTTCTCTCAAAAAATTTACCCCGAATCAAGTTGATTTCTCTCGAACATCAACAAGTATGCAAAATAAGAACAGCCCACACCTTAGTCCATTCACTCTCTCGAGCTGAATGTGTGGGATTGAGTTAAGGATTCACTCTCTCGAGCTGAACCCAGGTCAAACCAATACGTACACACCATCAATCAATAATTTTAGTTCTAAAACCTCTCTCGAGCAAGCCATGAACACAAACATAGAACTGCATTTGCAACTAAAATTCTTAAAGTAAACGACAATTAATGATTAAACTCACTTCTAAATAGCATTTAAACTAACAAATAACAATACCCATAAACTAAATCTGCCCATAATCACATAATCACACCCCAAGAATTGGGGTTATAGGTAGACATCATAAAAAGGTAAAGAACTGTTACTAAATTGATTATCCATCAACTGGGTAAGAGT